TTCCTCTAAGTCTTCCTACCAATATGACCATGTTACGAAAACAAGGTCAAACAACCTCTATACAACGAAAAGAAACTGCGACTACACAAAAGGCCACACCATCTTGATCTTCCTACCTTTGAAGGATAATATTTGGTGAAATTTAAAACATTCATTTTTTGAGTAAAGCAAACCAAATTATGTCCTAACATGTTTAGTCTTTCTCTTCCTAAGCCCGGGGCGCAGGTTTCGCAAGGAGCCTCCCAGCAGACCCCAGAGGCTAGCCGGATACTGCGCCGCAGTTCTTTCCACGACAGTGAATCCATGTCCAGTTGCCCCTATGGCTGGCAACAACAGAAGCGTGGATCTTATCCCGCCTCAACCGGTTCCAGCCATCAGAGCCTTAAAGTGTTATATTCACCCAAATCCGAGGTTATGTCACGTCAATCTAGTCAAGTTCATCCTGTCATTCGTCGGGGTTCAGTGAGTCATGGTATGATCTATGAGCTCTATCGTGCCTCAATAAGTTCCTCGGAAGCGATACGCCGAGTAAGTGTTGTCCAAGACTCCCTGACACGGGCTATCTCACCTGTGCACATTTTCCCCCGTTGGATTCGTCTACAACGGATTCGAAACCACCTCATAGTCTGCATTCTTGTACTTTCACTGCTCTATATTGTCCTTCAATTATACTTTTTGATTGCAAACATCGCATGCATAGACAGTCATCTTTTCTCCCTGGTTCTCTGCTCCCTCATCTTTCTTTATATACTCATTTCTCAATTGATACTCTTTTACTACCGATTTTTCTGTCTAATTGGATCCACCGAGATCATGATGCTTTACACCAACTTCATTCTTACTACCTTTCTGATGATTAGCTGTCTCTTTATGGCCTTCAGCGAATTTATCAGCCCCATTTTTAGACAATTATTTCTCTGCCCTAAGCACAACGTTAGCAGTGGCTTGTTGGAGAACAATCCGACTAACTCGGGGGTCAGAGTGCTCAGTGCTGAAAATGATTCGAAAATAACGGATGAAAAGGTTAACGAACTGGTGAACACTAGCACATGCATCTGGATGAGCAAACAAGATCTGGGAAATGAAATAAATCGGCTCATTCATCAAGAGGCCAACTTGACCTCACAAGTGCTAAAACCCATGACGAGTCATCTGCAACACTTCTTGATGGTTGGAAATGTGCTCAGCTGCCCGTACACTATTTCCATTGCCTTTATATCTCTACTTTTCATTAACCTGACTCTGCCCTTTATCAGCATTTTTCTCCTACACTTGGTTCACTCGAAATTGGCGCATATTGTCAACGAATTTCACACAGACCCCCGAGTCAACAGCACCGCAGAGAGTAGGGATCGCTCCAGCGAGAAAACTGTAACCAAAGCACCATGGAGAAGAAAGCGTTGCTCTAAAAGTCTGAATGCATTACGAATGTCAATAAACCAGAATATGTATTCACCTTTGATTGACCTGTCCGCGAATTCGGCATCGATAGCTGCCGTGGAAGACGCTGCAAACTCTACTGTCGCCAAAACATTACCAGCAGTCGAGGCTGCTGGCCTTTCGGAATCAGAGAATAACATGAACTTAATAGCCAATAGTGGTGTTAGCAATAAAGATGGCGCCTTGGCCATCTTTGACCATATTTTTAAAAGTGAAGGAGCCAGCTATGACAACAATGTAGGAGGCGTGACTCGA